CGCGGCGCACCGCGCCCGACTGCACCTGCCGCGGCCGTGCCGCGCCTGCGTCACCTTTTGCGTGTGGCCTCTAGCTTCAAGAGTGGCCCCATCAGGTGGCGCATGGCCAGCAATGGCCCCGCCACCTTCTCCCGCAGCTTCTGCCACAGCGGCATGCGCTCGGTCGTCGCGGGGCGGTGCGGATCGTCGTTCCATCCGAGGTTATAGGGCGCGTCCGTCACTGCGGGGAGCGTGGCAGCCAGCGCGCTGTGATTGCAAGCGTGGGCGGCGCTACAACTTCAGCAAAGCCCGCTCATAGCCTATTCCTCGTAAAAGACACCACGAGTTTGGTCACAGCAGGTGCAGCACCGACATATGCGTGTGTGGTGCGGTATTGTATGCATGTGCGCGCACAGCATGCAACGGGGTTGGCTGGGCTGTCCGAGCGACGCATACGGATCTCAAGAAAAGGAACCAGACGCGGCCGCGCCCACCGCCCGGCATGAGGGTCGGCATGGCAACCACGAACGGCAGCTTGAGCGTGTGGGCCGCGTCCACGCAGGCATCCGCCATGAAGTCGCACATCACCAGGGCGGGGCGGGAAGCTGCCAGGTAGTCGTAGTAGGTGCCGTACATCACCTCATAAGCCGGGATCAGGAGCTGCCCGCAACACATGTTGTGCAGAGAAAGGGATGCAGGGGAGGGGCAGGAGCTCCCTGTCACAAGCGCCTATGTCAGCAGGGGCCCATGTTTAGAGCAACAATCCAGCAAGTACCCGCATGCGCGTACACATACCTACACCCACCCCCCCACACACGCACCAACACACACGCAATTACGCACCTACATGCACGAACACACTAACACACAGATACATGACTTCAAGTGCGCGCGCACGTGCGCATGCCCCGTGCATGCAGGCGTGCGCCCACCTTCTCCAGCATCTGGCCAGCGTGGGCATTGAAGTCGACGCCCTCCTCCACAGCTGTTTGGGCGATCATGTCGTCCAGCCTCCTATAGGCCGCCTCTGAGGCGGTGCGGCCGGCGAGAGGCGCAGTCAGCAGCCGACGGCAGCAGCTGCCAGCAGGACGCGGCGCGGACCGCACAGCAGTTGAGCAGCAGCAAGCGGGCTCACAGGCGTGAAGCGGTCCAGCAGCAGCGCGTACGGCGCATGCGACAGCAGTCGCACCAGCATGCATGGTCACGGCCTCGCGAAACATGGACCTTCCCACGCACATACACACACCCACCCACGCCGTCCCGGGGGAACTTGATCATCTTGAAACCGTAGGGGGCCGTGTACGCCTCGCTGACGTGTTCACCGATGACGGTTATGTTGGTGTAACCCCTGCTTTCCAGTACCTTCAGGATCTATAAAGCATGATGATTTTGGCGTGGTGGTTTGAACGGGGGTGAGTAAGGGGTGAGGGAAGCTGTAGAGATGGAAGGGGAGGAGTGCAGGGACAGGGTAGGAGCGAGCTTTTGGCACACCTGCAGGATCAGGGTTTGGGGGAGCTTTGGGGGGCCTGCTGAGGGGCACCGCCCCGCTCACCTCAAAGAACTGCACGCAGTGGCTGCGCCCCATGTTGCAGCCATAAACCAACTCCTTGTCTGGCGACGGCAGCGGGGGTGGGTGCCCATGCGGCAGCGCCAGCGCGCCGTGCTGCCGATGAGGGGCAGCGAAGCAAGCCAGCAAGACGATGAACAGCGCCGCTGCCGCGGGCGCCCTAGTTACGTGTCGCCATCGGAAGCAGCTCATGTTGAGGATCTTGTGCCCCTCAGGACACGTCGCACAGGCAGGGCCAGTCCACCTGGTCGGGCGGCGTGCCGCAGAGGCACGCTGGCCCTGCGGGTGCTGGTGTTGGGGGCGTGTGAGGGTGCGTTTCTGCTTTGAGAGTGAATAGTAGGGGCCAGGATCTACACGCCCGCAAGATACGGCAGCAGCATCTTGTTGCAGCCCGACACTGTCACCGTAACAGCGTGATCTGGATTATTACACGAGCGTATCAGAAACGTGCCGATCATAATATGAGGTCAAAATGTTAGCACATACCTAGACTTGGTCTGTACCCGTGGCTGCTCACACACCCAGGATCTGATGCATGGAGCGTGGTTTCAAACACACACCTGGGCGTGCTGGTTCGTAGCATTGCTGCTCTTGCAGCCTGCGATCGCCGAGGACCCACACCCGTAAGCGCCGCGCAGCAGCTGGCTGACTCTGTGTCCCGCAGCAGCGGCAGTGCCGCCCGCCGATTCAAGCGCGCCGCCCGCCGCAGCTGCCTATGCATCCGCGGCGCCGCAACAACGAGCCCCATTTGCCCGCCCGTGCAGGGTACTGCTTGTGGAGCAGTTGCCAGGCCACTCCCAGCTGCGTCTGGTGGAGGAGGGGCTCTCCCTGCTTCGCAGCGTCAACCGCCCAGTGGCGCCGGTGGTGGTTATCGGGCCGTACCGCAGTGGAAAGAGCTTCCTGCTCAATCAGCTGCTGGGCGTGCCGTGCGGTAGGTCCCTGTGGCAACGTGATTGGGCGCGGCTGACGCCGGTCTACTGTAGTCCCGTGCCAAGACGATGTGGGGTCGGGGTTGGTCACATCGCCATGCCATTGGGGTGCCATGCATGTCGAAGCAACAGCTGCTGCCCCCGAGTGTACATTGCTGCATCACGCGCCCCTGCAGGCGCCGGCTTTGGCGTCGGCCACACGCGAGACACGCAAACCAAGGGGGTGTGGTTGTGGAGCGGGGTGAGGGAGGAGCCTGACGAGAATGGCGCCAACAGGACGGTGAGAGCGGCCGCTGCTCCGGCTGATGCTTCAGCAGCACGGCAGCATCCGTGGGAGGTAGCGCCGGCGTCCTTGGCGGGGGCTGCAAAAGGTGGGCACCGCAGCAGCAGGACCAACAGCAGCAGCAGCAGCAGCAGCAGCAGCAGCAGCAGCAGCAGCAGCAGCAGCAGCAGCAGCAGCAGCAGCACGAGCAGAAGAACGACAAAAGCGTCGATGCCAGCAGCCAAGGTTGCAAACAGCAGCTTCAAGAAGCACCGACAGCTGGTGGCCAGTTGCAGCCAGCAGACTGCTTGCGCTGCTGGCCGCAGTCACATGCGCAGGTGTCGGCTGTGGGATTCCACTGCATCCTGCAACAACCTTGCATGAACCCTCGCAGCTGCTGTTCGTGGATACCGAGGGGTTTGAGTCAACAGCCCGCAGCAGCAGCTACGACGACCGCATATTTGCGGTGGCGGCGGTGCTCAGCAGCCTCCTCATATATGTGAGCGGAACTGTGACGTGAAGTGCAGACCTGTTTTGCTGCAGTAGCCCCGGGCGGGCACCGCACTGCTGCCATGGATATCGGGCGCCGGGCAGGCCCCGGCTTCCAGGCTGGCTGAACGACACGGGAGGTCGGCCAGCAAGCGGGCCGCTGCGGCGACGCACACAGCACGTCGCCGCCCTCCCTTTCACCTGCCGCCGACACGGCCGCATCCACGACTGCCGCACCACAACCCCCGCACCAGAACCTGCCGGAGACGATCCGGGAGTCGGACGTAGCGAAGCTCTCGTTCGCGGTGGACCTGGCCAGCGGATTTTACGACCAGTGGCGCGGCACCGCGGGCGTGCCGCTGCAGCCGGGGCGCATGCTCTGGGTGATCCAAAGGTGCGGCGCCGTGCCGCTCTGCAGCACAGCGCCGCGTCGGGCACGGAGGGCACAGGCCCGCGGCGTTCGTTGGAGGGAGGGCTCTGAAGGCACAAACGCTGGAGCCCTGCAACTGAAGCCCCCAGCCATGCGACCGCACATGCGCCACCACCCACGGCCTCCCTCATGGCCAGCACGCTAACCACCACCCTGAGCGCCGTCCGCTCTCCTCCCCTCCCTGCATTCGCCATCCCCATCGCTGTCCCGTGCCTTCGCCCTGCCCCACCACCTCAGGGACTTCCTGCAGGGCAAGGGGGTGCAGCAGCTGGTGGACGAGGCGCTCGCGCCGGTCCCCAACCCCGAGGGCGACAAGGAGCTGCAGCAGCTGAACCGCATCCGCGCGTCGCTCACAGCCATCGCGGGAAACAGCACAGGCGAGCCGGGCGCGCGGCGCGCGGGGCGATCGCACGCAGAGCGCGGGGGCGCGGCACGCGGGCTGGGAGGGCGGGGCTCTGCCGCTCCGGGCGGGCTGCAAGGACGCACCTCCAGGCCTTGCCTCCAGCCCTGATCCTCTTGAATAAATGTCAGAACTGCCTGCGTGTGATCGCCCCTGGCTGCTGCTGTGCTTTGCCCCATCCCCCGCACATTTGAATATATACACACAAGTAAATCCCCAAAAACGCCTTCGGACCCTGCTTTGGATACGTTCCAGGCTACTCGCTGCCGCAGCCGCACATCAACAGGACGCGGCTCTGCGAGCTCAGCGACTCGCAGCTCGAGCCCAGCTACCTGAAGCAGCGCGACGGCCTTAAGGCCGCCGTGCACAAGCTGGCGCGCCGGAAGGTCGTGGGAACACAGGTCTTCACCGGCAAGTGAGCAGCTTGTTTTGTTGTATCCTCGCCCGTCACCTCGGCTGCTGCACAGATACGGCCCTGCAAACTGCACACCTGTCCTGCCAGTAGAGCAGCGGCCGCAGCCACAACCAATCGACCGTGTTGCTCCCCCACCACTCTGGCTCGTCTGCATAACCGACGTCGACCGCCGCCGCGAGCCGCAGGCACCTAGCGGATCTGCTGTCTGACCTCATCAAGGCGCTGAACGAGAAGGAGATCCCGACGGGCGCCAGCCTGCTGGAATCGTTCAATCAGCAGCTGGTCGGCCGCGCGCTGGGGACATACACCAAGCTGCTCGACGCGATCGGGGTGCCGGTGGACGAAGAGCAGCTGCGCAAGGTGGGCGGCGCGCGAGCGAGCGGCCTGGGACAGCCGGCTGCCGGCCGCCGGGAAATGCTGGGGCGGGACTCAGCCCGGCCGGCGGCTGGCCACGCGTTGTGAACGCCGCGGCTGCTGGCGTGTCGAGAGCTCGCTCGGCTGAGAATGCCCAGCGTTCCTTAGAGCCACCAAAAGCGCGCCTGCCCCCCGCCCCCCTGACGGCGCGGCGCCCGCAGGCGGAGTCCGCCGCCCGCGAGGCCGCGCTGCGCTCGTTCGAGCAGCAGCTGCTGGGCCGCAAGCAGGGGGAGGCGCTCAGGGCGCAGCTGCTGGAGTCGATGGACCGGGAGCGCAAGTCAAAGGAGCTGTCGAACTCGGCGGCCAGCAACGACGCCTGCCAGGCGCTGGAGATGGCCTGCACCCGCCAGCTGGACTCGCTGGGCCGCATGGCTGTGCCGTCGATGCGGCAGTTCAGCAGCAGCTTCGGCAAGTGCAAGGCGCAGTTCGAGGTGGGCCGTTTTTGCCACGGGCGTGCGCGCGTGCTGTCTTCGCATGGAGAAAGGCCTGCTGAGCGACGGATCGGGGCGCTGCGGCGCTCGACATCAGGGGCTCTGCGGCCGCATAGCGTGTTTCTCAGCTGCGGGCGGCCCCACTGCTCGCCGGCCACAACAAGCGTGCGCGCCTTCTGCACCCTGCCGCCGCACCCCGCTCAGGCCAAGTGCACCGGCCCCGCGCGCGCGGCGAGCTCGGAGCGCCTTTCGATGGCCTGGGAACGCGCCAGCAAGCAGTTCGGCTCGGACTACAACGGCCGGCTGCTGACGGGGCTGCTTGTGCTGTCGGTTGGAGGTATCCTGGTGTTCAGGTTCCTCCTGCGCGCGCGGCTGCTTGAGCTGGCGTCGTGGCTGGCGCTGGGCTTTCTTGAGCTGTACCCCATGTAGGTGGCTCCAATATTGGGGGAGACGTTTTTGTGTGTGTGTGTGTGTGTGTGTGTGTTTTTAAGTGTTGGTGTGTGTATGTTTGTGTGTGTGTGTGTGTGTCTGTCTGGCCTGCAGAGGGGACACACGCCTCAATAGCTTGAAAGCGAGCCTCCTGAACCATGGGACTGGACTGCCTGGCACGCATAACTGTGTTGGGTGTCCCTGCGCTTCTTTGTGAATCGCTGACTGGTCAGCAATGCTGGGGCTGGGCCTCTCAATCAGCCCCTTGATCTATGGCCCACCCCTCCCCTATTTCACAAACCGCAGGGTCTTTCAACACGGAATGTACGACACACTCTGGTGGCACGTCACATCCCAGGTTTGTGCGCTCGTGTAAGCGTGGGAGTGTGCACCCGTTCACGTGCATCCATGTGCGTTTGCACGCACGCACGCACGTGCGTGTGTGCGTGTGTGTGCGTGTGCAGGTGCGTGTATGCATTTGCGCATGTGTGAACATGCGTGGGTGTGAGAAAGTGTGTGCATGCGTGCCGACACGCGTACGTGCGTGCTGCAATAATGTTTGGGGTGGGTGTCACTTTGAGTCTGGTGTGCTGCAGCCAAATTGTCCCCTCCCCTTGCATTGCCGACCGCGACCCCCAACCCAGGTGTGGGAGGCCGGCGTGTTCGCCTTTGTTGGCGACTGGGCTTTTCTCACGTGGCTTTTGCTTGCCGGCGCGCTGTACCTGGCATGGCGGCGACGGCGGCGGTCGCTGCGGCGCAGATCAAGCAAATCGGATGACTGGGCGGCGAGCAGCAGCAGCTGGTGGGATCGGGGCGGGCCCAAGAAACGGCGCAGCATGCGTGATCTGGACGTGTAGTAGTCAATGGTACTTTGATGGGTGGGCCCATTCATAGGATATTAGATGGCAGGAAACCTGTAATCGGTCTGTGGTGCAAAATTTCCTTGGAAAGCTGGCACCACCCCAACCACCATTACCAACTTGCTCGGACGGCGCACGTTTTTTTCACCCACGCCCACATACCGTCCTGCCCCAGGGACCACGCCGCTGCCGCACCGCCCCGCCGGCCCCCCGGCCCGCACCGGCCGACCATAACGAAATTTCGCTACCGCCAGCCGGATGAACTGTCAACGCGCGCCGCAAGCGCAGTCACTGGTCACTCGCAGCTTGACTCATTGACTACCCTCCCAGTACACCGCCTGCAGCACAGCGCGTGTGGCACCGCGCGTGTGGCACAAAGAGGCTTCAGATAACGTTATAGCACAGCATATGGTCTCTTTATATCGTGCTCGAGCGTATCAAGCGTCCCAGGAAGCCGACAGCAGTGCGCCCGGTAAATTTGAAAGGCGTTCCGCAGAGCCAGTGACCGGATCAGCGTCAGGAAGGAGTGCTGAGTGTCTGAGAGGCGTTGCGAACAACTGATAGGCACGATGCAGGCCTCTCCTGACGGCCTCGGGCTCGATCCGACCTTCGAGGATGAGGAGGGCCAGTCGAGGCCTTCGGCAGCTCCCCCTGCACGATGGTTGCTGGTGATGGCCACACACACCATGGAGGTGCGCAGAGAGGTGGCAAGCCCCCTGCTTGCCAAGGCGCTGTTGACGCTTGCTGCTTTCGGAATGTGCAGCGGCAGGCGCGTGCCCACGCACCGGACGGCGCCGTGCGCCCTCCTCACCCGAATCTCTGCGGCGAACAGGTTGCGACTGCCAAGGTCCCCTTCAGCATGATTCTACTGCTGGATCACGTGCGCACGAAACGCTCCATGCCGGAGGAAATCCGCTGCCGCCTGGTAAGCGCGCGTCGCTCGCCCTGCACAGGCAGGCTCGCGCCGGAGCCCGTTGCTCATGCGGAGCAGGAACGGCGGTCAGCAGCAGCAGCAGCAATTCCATCTTGAGCACACATCGCCAATCGCCCGTCGCATGGCGGCGGGGATTGGCGCCAACAAAATGGCAGATCCCTGCAGGGTTGCCTTGCATGTACACCCACCCCTGCCTCGGACTCTCGCCCCACGCCGCGCAATGCCCCACGCCGCGCAACGCCCCGCACCCGCCGCCTTTGTCCTGCCAGGTCATCCCCAGCGACGGGCTGATCAGCGTCTCCCTTTGGGACACCACCAACCCAGAGCTCTTGAAGCAGTGGCTCGACGAAAACCTGGGCAGCGACTGCATCAGCCAGGCGCGCCCGCTGCGCCGCGCAGCGCCGTGTCGCGCATCGGGCCGCGCCCTGGCGGCCGCGGCGGCATCGGAACCGGGGCGCCCGGGCGCTTGCGCACGCGCAGCGGCGCGCAGGGGTGGCCGCCAGCCCCGCTGCTTCCCCCACACAACGCACATCGCAGCAGCCCTGCCTCTTACCGCAATCCCCCCATTCCTTTTGCCGCCAAACAGGTCTACGAGGTGCAGGAAGAGTTCACATTTGGCTGTGCGCTGGAGCTGGCGCGGTCCCGCGGCGCGGACAGGGTGGCGGGCGGCGGCAAGAAGACGCTCGACGCGGTGGCGGCTGGCATCACTTCCGCCAGCAACAAGGCGCGCCTGCGGGGGCAGGGGGGCTGCGGGGCGGGGTAGGGCCCGCGTGTGATTTTTGGGCGTTAGCGGCAGCGCTCGCAGGCTGGACGCGGGTGCGGCGCGGCGCGGGAGTGTGGTCGCCGCGGGCTGCTGTTGCATGCCGCTTTGGGCTGTCGTGGAGGCCGTTCAAAGTCAAGAACGCAGGGCGTCAGAGTCCCACGGCGCTCGGATTGCCCCCCATTTGGGTCCAAAACGCATTTGAGCACTTAGCTGTGCACCAGGCTAGGGCTCAGATAGCAAGAGCAGCGGCGACCTCTCGTTGTTTACAGTATGCAAACGCCGTGATCACATGCGCACGCGGCAGGCACCGTCGCCACGCCTCCGCCCCTAGACACGCCGCTGGAA